CTCGACTTAATCAGATAGGAAAAGTAATATGTTGAGGTTGCTAAGCTCTATCGTAAGAATGAATCTTCTCTTCATGAAATTATAAAGAAGGAAAAATAAATTTGTGCTAGATTTGCTGTTGTGCCTCACACTGCAAAAGTTATGGCCACAGTGTGTGATAAGTAAGTGCTCAGTTAAGATGGAAAAGCCATTAAACTTTATCACAGGCACATATGTATAGGGCAAAAAACCATAGTATATATAGGGTTTGGTACTATCCGAGGTTTCAGGCGTCCACCAGGGGGCTTGGAATGTATACCCCGTAGATAAGGGGATGACTGTAGGCCTTTTCTTGGGAATAAACTTTCCATGAATAGTTGTATCCTATCCTATCCTATCCAATCCTATCCTATATTTGGTAGGAAGGGGTATATATCAGAAAACATTTCATATTGGATCAAATATCTCAGTAAGAAAACCCTTCTACTGAATCCATTTCACTCAATAATCAGGCAGCAATCATAGACTCTTAAAAGTTATAGACCCTGAAAGTGATCTTGTCAACCTTTTTATAGTAAAGACGAGGAAGTTAAATTCCTCCTGCAAAGTAATTGAGCTACTTCTAAGTGGACTGGAGCAATAGCTCAGGTCTCTGGATGGTCAGTCCAATACACTTTTCACTGCCCCCACACTGCCTAAAATTCAAATGCCTCACATTTGTCTTCAGTAACACAGGCTGCTCTCCGAGGCCTGGTCCTAAGGATCTCTGACATCTCCCTGCTATGTGCCGCTCTTGCAACTGAAGAAGGCTGCTTTGCTCTCCAGAGCACCATGTGCACCCCTATCACCCTTGTAGGTGAGGATTGAATCCCCATGAGGCAGAGTGACCTTAGGCTGGGCAGCACAGGACACTCCAGGGAACAGAAAGGCCACACCATCTTGTTATCATTGTTTATTTGGGAGTACAAAAACTTGCCTGCCTGGGTCATTTTCTTTCAACCCCATTTTCAAAAGATGATTTCTCAAAGCCTGGCTAAGAGAAATGACACTCCCCCCTTTTTTTTCACTGAGATATTTCTCTCTCCTTATGTGCAAAGCCTTGAAGTATTTTTCTGGTCAATTTCAAGCCGACTGCAGTACATGTTCCATCTTAATTATGTGATTGTAGCAAATGATATGCTCCTGCTACCCCAGCTCTCTAGCCTAGGTAAAAACTTCCTTCCGTCTCTCAGGCCCCTGGACATTAAGGTTCCACGCTTCCTAGCCTCTCTCGATAGTCCCTGGCCCCTAGGCTCTGCCAACAGGAATCTTTTAACCAGCCTTTCCTCTGTCTCTTCTTTCCAGCACTAGGAGCCAAGCTCTGAGTGTTAATTTTAATGGCTTTTTTTGAAGGCAGGCTACCCTCTGTATTAGTTTCCTAGAGCTGCCGTAACAAATTAGCATAAACTCTGGGTTTTACTCTCTCACTGTTCAGAAGCCAGAAACACAAAATCAAGGTGTTGACAGGGCCACGCTCCTTCTGAAGGCTTTAGGCAGAATCCTTCCTCACCTCATCCAGCTTCTGGTGGTTTCAGGCATTCTTTGGCTCGTGGATGAATGATTTCAATCTCTGCCTCCCTCTTCACATGGCATCTCTTCTGTCTGTGTGTCCTCCTCTTTTCTTTCTATAAAGACACCTGTCACTGGGTTTAAGGCCCATCTGGATAAACCAGGGTGATCTCATGTTGAGATCTTTAATTACACCTGAAAAGATCCTTTTCCCAAATAAGGCCGCATTCACTGGTTCTCAGGGTTAGACTATAATATATCTTTTTGGAGGCCACCATTCAACCCATTACACCCTATTCTAGTAATGCCGTTCACCCTAAATCAGAGTTATTGAGTGATTCAAGTGTTGAGTGTTGCTTATGCACTGGATGCTGGATATTAGCTTGGCATTGGAGATACAACCTGAATAAGCATGGTTCCTCCCTCTAGAAGTTCTTAATGTGACGAATCCAACAGAAAAGCAAATAGGTCATTATAATACAACATGAAAAAAAAAAAGGAAAAGTCCTATCACTCAAGGATTCTATGACCCATTTCTCTGATAACTCTCATATTCCAAGCAGTGTCACTTTTTTTTGTTCATATACCACTCACTGAATCTGCTAAACCAGGGAAATGAGAACTGATAGAAGAAAGAGAGTGTCAGGGGAACAAGTGAGATTTCTTCCCTTGAGAAACTTTTCTAGGCCACAAATATGTCTGTGTGAATATTAAAAATAAGGGCAGACAGTTGTTAAAAAACAGTACACTGGGGCATAATGCTTCTGAAGTCTGAGCAGAGAGAATCTCAGAGTCAGAAATGGCTCACACATGGACAGAAGTGATGGCTACCGGAAAAGGCCATTACCTATCGGCACACAAATCCACAACTTGGATGGATACCAAGAAGCAATCTTACTTTTTTGGAGTTAAATTGTTTAAGCATTTTAATACTTTCGTTATGCAGGGCCATATCTGAGCTCCCATGTGAAATCTTGCATGTTTAGCGCTCTAGATAGGAGATGTCCTGGCTTATAGACAGGGAAACCAGGCAAATGCTTTCCTCCACTTCAAAACAGAGAATCTTAGAACCCTCTTCTAAATTTCTTAAGGGGCAGGGGGTGGGGATGTGGGATAGGATGGGTGGGGTGAAACATTATTCAGGGTGATAAGGATGCCAGGTAGAGAGAAATCCAACAAATACCTTGTCAAGTGGTTCTAGAGTAGCGGTTCTCAACCTGTGGGTTGCGACCCCTTTGAGGGTCGAACAACCCTTTCACAGGGGTCGCCGGGTACTGGTATGTGGGCGTATCTGCATGTGGGCCTGGAGACGGATAGAGGAGCGGTGTCTCGGTTCCTAAGACCATCGAAAATATGTGTTTTCTGATGGTCTTAGGCGACCCCTGTGAAAGGTTGAGAACCGCTGTAGAGGATTCCTGTCTCACAGCAGAGATTTCTTTCTGTAGCANGAGCCTTCCCAGGGACCACTCCTTAGGCAGAGTTTCCCCATGGAAGTCCACCTCCCTGGCTAGAAGGGTGAAGTAGTGGTGGTCTTCTATTATCCACAGTCAACAGTTGACTCTGCACCCATGGTTAGATCTGGGGTAACTTTCTACCAAGCCCCACATGGACAGCATCTAGGCCCTACTGTGTACCCTGTACATTTGCGACATTACCTTGCCTGCTGTCACCTAAAGCCAAACTAAGATCTTGACCTTGACTTACTAAAGTGTGCTACATCAAGAATCCCAGTACCTGCCATTTATAGATTTGTTCATTTATTCAGCTAAAATATGGTAAGTGGTTACCATGCACTAGGCACTGGGCCAGGCTCTCGCTATATAAAGAAACTGGACACACAGCTCTTGTTCTTAACAAGCTGACATGACACACTGAAAGAAAGGAACAAGGGACAGGGAGCCAAGTTAATTTATACCGAGATAGACAAATACCTCTTAACTCTTTAAGACTCAGATCACACCTCGCCCTCTCCAAACAGCTCCCTGGTCACCTGCGGGCAGTGACATGCTTCTTCTGTGCCCTGATAATGTTTGGATTGTTTCTGGACTACAAAATTTCTCATTGTGCTAAAGTTATTTCTATGCACCTCTGCTTCATTCTTTATTTATAAAAAGGAGAGGGCAAAGGGAGAAAAGGCAGAAACTGTTATTTAACATTTCCCCATACCCACAGTATCTGGGGCTTTTCAGATGAATGAATGGATGAATGAACAAATGAATGAATGTCCAACTTTCCTGTCCTCTACATAGATTTCCTTGACCCAAATGTGTGTCTGTCAACCCAAACAAGAAGTACATTTCCTCTCCTTAATATGTAGAGTATGGTTATTTCCACTTCATTAAACCAATGCACAGAAGTTGAAGCGAAAGCCTCATCTCACTCAGTGAAAAGCATTATTTTGTTGTCTTTGTTTTTGTTTCTCCAGGAGCATAATTAAAGGATGTGTGAGCATGTGTGGGTGTGGGTGTGTGTCAGTCCTGCGCAATAATTGGGTGGCATTCTTCATAACAGGTGTGCCTCCAGTAGGTCTCAGTGATGATGGAGGGCATGGAGGGGTTTGCCAGGAAGATGGGGAGATGCAGCCTGCCAAAACCAATCACATTAAATCTTAACGCTCATTCAGGGCCTGTCATAGGAGGCAAAATCTGATGAACACCCGAATGTCGGGGTGGTTATAGCGTCTGTTAAATGGCTTGTAAATGTGATTGTTGAGAATTTTACACAGAAATGACACTGGCTACAATCAAAACAAAGCAGGCCTGGCTTCAAGCCTGCCTCTACGAGTACCATCACCACCTCGTGCCAGGTGGATGGGGGCATTGCTGTTACCTGGCCTGGCCTCCTTCCATCATTTTGAGCTTTCTCTCTCTGACTGGCAATCTGTTTCTTCTAAGAAAAGGCTAGCAATCTCCCCCCAAAAGACACAGAATGTCATAATTTTTGCATGTTCATACAAATGAAATAAAGATCTTTTACACCAGCAATAAAAAGTTTGGACACAATTTGTCATTCTTATCTCTTCCCATGAACTAAAGAAATGAGACATGAATAGTTAGGTCAGGTGGCACCATAGTCCAAAGAAAGAAGGTGATCAACACTGAAGAGCAGAATATAATGACCCCTAAATAGATTCAAGCCAGCCTTTTCTCATTGGTTTTCTGGACAATGCATAGCACAGATGACGGAAATCAATACTTGGTGATTCAGCAACATTTATTGACCATTGGCTTGAGCAAAATACTGCCTAAGCTGATTTGGGGGACCAAAAAAAGAATAGTTACATGAGCCTCACTACAAGTAACTTCTAACTTAGAAAGCATAGATATAAATAAATAAAATAATTTTTTGCTATTGTGCATATAACTTACTGAAATGAGATTTGGGGCATTAGGTATTAAAAATCCTTAAAATTCTTTTACAACCCTCACTCATTCATTTCTTCAATAGTCATTCATTNCATCCATCTCCTTGCATTTGTCCTATTCCTTTTGGCTTTAAGGCCACCTCCTTTGTGAGCACAGAACTGGAGCCCATGCCAGATGAGGTCTTAGCCCCATGAATAGGTGAAGGTGTTTCCCAACATAAACAGGGAGGCCGCTGAAATCAATTCACCTGAACACGCACATCGTTCCATTTTCTACTCTGCACCTTGGCCTTGGATTTCTTGCCATAATTCGATAAGGAGTTTACCATTTTGATTAGGAATGCCAGTGCATCAGTCAGAAAAGACTCCTCATCCCACTCAGTGCGTGCACCCTAGAAATCTCTCCTTTCTTTAATTTTTCATTTTTTAACCATTTTTCATTAATTTGTGCATTACAAAGGCACAGCATAAATGTTCCCACAGAGACAGTCAAATTCCAAAAGAGAGTCAACTTTCGCTTGCTCCCTCTACAAATAATTACCATATGTCTGCTATGTCAGGAGGTCTATATAGAAACACAAAGACACAGTCACTGCCCTAAGGCACCTCCCATAGGATTCAACCAGGGACTCCCTTTTTCACGATGCCCTCCCTAGCACCCAGATCAAGACAAGAAGTCCTCCTCAAGGTCCTGTGGCATTGGGTCCTGGACATCAGTGTCACACATCTCACGTGGCGTAATTGTTGGCTTACTGAGGCAGGCTCTCCACACTGAAGCGCCAGTGGGAAAAGTTCAAACGGGACACATCTCACGGCACCCTTGGACAAAGAATTGCAATAATGATGGTGGTGATAGCAAAGATGCTGATGACGATATAATGAAAACAAATGTAATCCCTTTTTCAAGAACTATTGCCTGTTTATGTCATTCTGCCCCAAATCCCTGGGTGTACCTACGCGCAAGCGCACTTCCAGGGGCTCAGGGCATGCCTGAGAGGATGCCAAGATGGCAGCATGATGTCAGTTTCTTGCAGGGCGCCGCTCTCTCTGATTTGTTCCATCCCGCCTAATATACTTCAGCTGTATTGAAATGAAAAATGAATAGGAAGTAGATCTTGCTGCTAAAACATATGTGTCAGAAAATCATTATGAGTATTAAATTACAGCAATAAAATGAACCAGAACTAATTTTGCAAATTAAGATCCAATCAATTTTTTCCACAGCCACACCTTTTGTTAAAAAAAAAAAAAGCCAAAATAAGATTTAGCCTAACAGTATTAAAACTGTGTGTAAGGTTTTTTGGGGTGAGGTGGGGTGAGGATATGTGTAGAACCAGAAATTCCAGAATGACAAATAAATATAAGAGTTTTTGAGGGGAGGGGTGAAAGTTGTCCACCGGATAGTAAAAATACTGCCCCTATGCCAAACAGTATAATGATCAGTTTTTAATCTGACATTCCTATGTATTTTACATGTTAAATTTATGTATACGTATTCCCCTTCCTCTCTTCTGCTTTCTCCATCCACCCCACCCCCACTCCCTAGACAAGGTTCTGCTGACACAAGAAACTAGGAAATTTCTAAATTCCTGATAATCGCTTATTCTTAGAAGAGAATGTCACTGTTGGTCAAATTAAATCTGAAGCTATAAACAAGCCCTTAGAGCTTTGCCTGTTCACAAGAATAACAGGATATCTCCCTCCACCCTCCTGTATGAGAAGGAGACTGTAATTAGCTCATTGTCCCTGAATAGGCACAAAGGAGGTGGCGCTTGCATGTCCCCTCCCTTTCAACCTTTCCTCAGGAGATCTTGGTGAAGGTGTTAATTAATTGAGTAACCTCTACCATCTCCTGGGAACACAATGTGGCACAATTCCTCATCCCAAAAGGGACATTGAGGAAGAGGGTGAAATACCTTGGCCAAGGACTCCCAGAGAGGGTCCACCAAGAAGAGGGACAAACAGGCTTCACCTCCCCGCTTGCACATTCCTCCTGGCTCCAGCTCTGGCAGCACAGCACTGAGCTATTCTGCTACACGCAGTGAACCAAACTATTTATAGCCACACAATCATTATAAATAAAGCTGTTTATAACATGGAACCTTGGCCCTGCATTAGTTAAAACTGTAGGCTGGCAGCTATAAATAACTCTGTTGCATGCTCAAGTGTGACTACTGACTGATACTTCCTCAAATTGTGACAAATAATGACAAGTTTGTTTGACAAACGTCCCACTGACATTCATCTGATTTTGAATAAGCGGTGCTGCTTTTTTAATTTGGTCCCTGAGGCCCGGGATCTTGGGAACTTTCTTTCTTCTTTCGCTCTCTCACCTCCTGCACCAGGAGACTCTGCCCTGTGTGTAGCCATTTTCCCCCCTTAATCACTGGAAGGGATTTGGGGCCATTTAAAGGGAAGCTTATTAAATCCACTGCTTTTCTCATGGGACGGTTCTGCTGTAGGGGCTTTGCAAGGGTCGGGGAGTTTTGTTAATGACACAATAGCAATAGGAGAGGGCAGGGAAATGTGGGCCAAGCCAGGGTGTTGGATAAAGGTGGAGAGGGGCTCAGAAAGAAAAGGCAGAACTGACCATCAGATTGAGGGAATCTCAGTCTTCAAGGGGGACCTGCAACCTAGAAATACGAGAAGTGGTTACCAGTGACCCAATAAAAGACAAGAGTCAGGATAGAGGGATTTACCTCCCAAGGCACCTGAGCTGGGAGATCTTGAATTATCTGAGATTGAGATCTCCAAGGTTTGGGTTCTCTCTCTAGGTGAGCTGATATGAATATACTCATATGTCAGGAGTTACGTCGTGGCATTTCAGGGCTCTGGTGGGCTTCTGGAACTGTCTGCTGTAACTCAGTCATTTTACAGGTGGAGGAGCTCAGGTCAAAGAGGCTCCCACAATGAGTTAGAGCATAACTAGACTAACACTCAGCTCTCTGGGCTCCAGGCTGAGGGCTGTTTCCATCATTATTAAATCATTGAATATGTGGAAAGCATTTGGAACTGGCCCATGGCGAGCACTCCCTGAGTGCTAGCAGTTATGGCAGTGGTGATCATCAGCTCTATTGCTGTCTATATGACCTCTTTAAAAGGAACTATTATACTGATTCCCACCTCCCACTTCCACATTTCCTCTGATTGAACTCTTATAATGATAACAGTTACACAATCTCGCCTCACTTTTCCCCTTCTATTCTAAACAGAGTTTTCAGAGCCATCTGCTAAACACACAGCTCTAATCATAAAATTGTGGCCCACCTGCTCCTCCATATCCCCTCCCGGGCTGGCACTACAGAAAGGAGGCATCACGCTCAAGGTCTACCGTGCAGGGCCACCACCGAGGAATGAACATCTCCTTAAAGTTGTACCCTATGTGCCTCTCACTTGCCTCACCCAAGTCCCTGTTCCCTCCTCCCCCAGAAGAAAAACTCACGGTTTGGTTCCACAGGCTTCTCACTGTGGCTAACAACGTGCTCAATTACTGGTTCCACCTCCTTCTGCAGTTCAAATCTATTCTTTATCCCAAAGCAGACACCTCAGTCTTCCCAGAACATACCCTTAGAAAATTTCCTGTTCCCTTTGACAAGTATATGCTCCCTTTGCATCACAAAACCCTGACCATCTTTCAAGACTCATTGCAGATGCCTAAGGAAACCTCTGCTGATTGACCAGGCAGCTGCGATGTTCTTTCCTTGGAATCCCCATTAGCCTATGTATGTGTCTCTTTCACCACTGGCCTGTCTTAATCCTGCCTTATCGTTATTTGTGATGGTACTTATGTTTAATCCTCTTTTTTAGTGGTAAAGGGAAACTCTTTTTGAATCATTTTGGTATCAAGCATAATGTGTAGCTAGAAAAGGGTGAAAAGCATTTGAAAGGTCTACTTTCTAAAACTGCAAGCAAAAACAAAAACAAAGGCTTTGAAAATGATAAATGATGGTATCAACTAGTGGATATTTGCTGAGATGTGTAAATAAATAGCAAAACCTGTAAGGGATCCGTGTGGCTGGCGGCAGCCCCATCTGCAGCTCCAGGAGAGCAACGCGAGGGCCGTCCACCCAGGAACATGCCCCTCTTCTGTGTTCACAACAGACGCAGATGCTTGCAAGGTACTCAGAGAACTGGAAGTGAAAGAATCCGAATAACCGGGCCAGCAGGCAGTTTAACAAGCAGAAGGATTAAAGGGGCAAGTATCTAATCAACCCATCAGTCAGCTGGCCATCACACATTCAGTTAGAGCCTGCGATGTACATGACATAGAAATACACCCTTAAAGAATAGATGTTTTCCCTGCCTTCTGGAATCTACAATCAGTTCCATTTGCTACATTTTTTTCTGACCCTTTCGGCTTTTATAATACTAAGTCCCATGGAACTCCAAGTCTTTCCTTGGCCCCCAAATTCTTCTCTCTATGTTGAGAGAATTTGCCAAGCTTTGTGGGGTCTCCCAGTGGACTCCACATCCGTTTCAGAGCTGGCCATCGGCCTCCTGCACCCTGCCAGGACCCTGGGATGTTTGAGGCCCCTGAAAGATCCAGATACAAGACAGAACTCTCCACAGCAGAACTAACCCATCCCCAGGTGAGAAGCAGATGAGTAAACTTCAGCTGACAAGCTAGCCACCAAAGAGGAAAGTACAAAGTGAACGCTCCTAAACGAGCTGAGTCCTCTTTCTTCCTCAAAAGCTACACGAGAAAGAAGGCGCCAGGCAGGAGAGGGGCTCTGGGTCCCTTTGTGCTACTCCATATTAACACAGTCACACTTTGCTATGCAGATGTCACTTCCAATAAACACCAAGGCTTTCCCGGGCCTGGACTCTAATTGAAGGGATTGTTACTGTTGGTGAATGGCTGGGGAAATAATTAATGCAAAGCCAACTACTTCATAAATGCCTGCTTTGTGAGTGGTCCCAGCGTCCTGGGGACTGCGACTCCTGTGGTCAGCGCAGCCCCAGGACTCCGTGTCAGCAAATGATATTTATTATTGCCATCAGTCCCTTTCTGAAACCGCCAGGCGAATAGACCTCTCCTGGAGCCTGGTGGACACAGCCTACCGTCCTCCAATCTCTCTGGGGCTGAACATGCAATGCAAGAAAATTCCCCCAATCTTCTGGATTTTTTATGCATGATCTTAGTTTTTGAAGAATGGCTTCACTTGTAAGTCCTAAAGATGGAAATAGGAGTGCAAGCAGATAAAAAGCTTTTCTCAACCCACCCTATTCCTAATTTTGTTACTTGAGCTCTATGCAGATACATGAACATACACATGCGTGTGCATGCATGTGCATGCACGCGCACGTGCACACACACACACACACACACACACACACACAGTTTCTCTGCTCCACATTGCTCACAGTCTTCACCTAATTTAAAACTCAGTTTCAATTTGAATGGAGCAAATAGACTCTTCAAGTAACTTATTTCCTAGGAATATAGGATGAAAAAAAGAAGAGGTGAGTGAATGTGCCAAGCCCTCTGCCTAATATATACACACCTCATTGAATACACTATAGTGGGTAGGTTTATTTTTCCCCCAGAAAATTGGTCCCAGGTTCTGCTGACGTAGCATGTCCAGGCACCACTTCTGTTTTTGCTGTGGTGGCTTTGTAGTCTCCTCAGTCTAAACTGCCATGGTGGCTGTCCTAAAACTCCCTTGAGGATTTAAAAAAAAAAAAAAAAGAAAGAAAAGAAAGAGCTGCCATGTTAACAGTGATGAAACTGAGGATGAGATTTTCTTTCTTTATACTTTGTTGTGGTGTCTAAATGTTCTACAGTGAGGGTATATGTTTTCACATTCAAGAAAAAAAAATGCATGACGTAAAAAAACGAAAATTATTTTAGTTTCATAAAATCCCTCAAGATCCTGAGGTTTGCTTGGGCAGCTTTATCTGACTTTGCAGAAGTGGTGTTCTGGCCTTGGAAATTAGCCTGGGCCATAAGCCAAGGAGACTGTGATATTCTCTCAAATTGGATCCTAAGCCATTAGTTTCTGTCTAACCTTAGTGAACAAGCAGTAAGTAAAGGAGAAATTTATCATTAGAAACTCTGTTTTCCCCTTTCCATGTTTTCATCTTCCCATACCCTTGCCATCCTTGCAGTTCCCTTCACTTTCCCTGTTTCACTTTAGTTTGTGTGTTTATTTTGCTTACTATTAGTTAAAATGCACCCTGAGGACAGAATCTGGTATCAGTCATTTACACTTTAGTATGAATTAAATTACTCAGCATTTATTTAGCTCCAGTGTTATAAGTGCAGATTTGCATTTTCATTCTAAATCCAGTTGTGTAATGAAAGGTGTTGGCTAGTGAATGAAAGACATCATCCCCTCTCTGCATCTCCGAAATCAGACATTGAGGCTCCCAGCTCCTCTGTTTGTGGGAAAGGCAGTCCCTGAGACCAGATACATAGCTCACTGCAATAAGTGCTGCCACTTTAGCTATAGAATATCACCCTTTAATATCTTTGTCCCTTTAGAAATAACACACACTCCAGGGATACTGCTAAATGTGGAAATGGTTGAAATAATGTACAGTCTGCAAAAATATTCACAGGCCCAGAGCTTTGGCAAAACTATAGTCTTACTCGGAAAATTATATTTCCTACACATATATGTTGAGCATGTATATTGAGTGTCTCATAAATAAAAATGAGTAATGATTTTCAGTGCTAGATTTCAGAAACATGAGAAAACTGTATCCCAGAGAAGTTAAATATCTTGCTGAAGGTCACTCACTGGTCAAGGTAGGGCTTGAACAAAGAAAGAAGGTTTCTAATTCCTTGCCTGGGCTCTTTTTGTTTCAACACATCATCTCCCAAGCCATCTAATTCAAGTCCCAGACAAACCTGACTACCTCATGCTGACGGGAAGCTGAAGACTGGCCCTCCTAAGGCTCTCTTCCTTCCATTTGGGAATTCTTGGAAAGTAGGCTAAGAAATGACTCTGGGGCTGGCCAAGTGGCTCAGTTGGTTAAGAGTTAGCTTAAGAGAGTGAGCTCTGAGCAATAGGGCTGCTGGTTTGATTCCCACATGGGCCAGTGACACTTGCGCCCGAGCTGAGCTGCAGCTGAGCTGCCAACAGTTGGCAGGATGGCTCAGCTGGTGAGAGCACGTTCTCCTAACCACAAGACTGCCTGTTCGATGGTGGGCTATGCCCGTCCGCTACTAAGACTGAACTTAGCACCTTGAGCTGAGTTGCTACCCGGATGGCTCAGTGGGAGGCGTGTGCACGCTTAACAACAAGGCTGCTGGTTCGATTCCTGCATGGGATGGCAGCTACGCCCACCAGCAACTAAGACTGAACACAGCACCTTGAGCTTAGAGGCCACAAGCTGCTGATGAGCAGCCAGATGNGATAGATGTTAACTAAACTTATTGTGGTGATCATTATATATATGATATATATATATGTATATATGTATATTATGTTATATATTTTATGTTATATACCTAAAACTAATAAATGCTAAGTGTCAATTATTTCTCAATAACAATATATTAATTTTAGAAGTTTATGGTCACCATCGCCTATTCCAGCCCACAAAAGA